CATTCTCCAAGATAGACCATATGATAGGCTGCAAAACAAGTCTCAGTAAATTTAAGAAAACAAATTATATCAAGTACTCTCTCAGATCACAGTGGGATAAAATTGGAAATCAACTCCAGAAGGAACCCTGAAAACTGTACGAATACATGGAAATTAAATAATCTGCTCCTAAATGATCTTTAGGTCAACAATGAAATCAAAACAGAAATCCAAACATTCTTTGAACTGAACAGTAGTAGTGACATAACCTATCAAAATCTCTGGAATACAGCAAAAGTGGTGCTAAGAGGAAAGTTATAGCATTAAATGCCTACATCAAAAAGTCTGGAAATGCACAATAGACAATCTAAGGTCACACCTCAAGGAACTAGAGAAACAAGAACAAACCAAGCCCAAACCCAGCAGAAGAAAAGAAATACAAAGATCAGAGCAGAACAAACAGAAAAAACAATACAAAAGATAAATGAAATGAAAAGCTGGTTCTTTAAAAAGATAAAATTGATAGACCATTAGCAAGATTAACGAAGAACAGAGAAGACCCAAATAAGCTCAATTAGAAACAAAATGGGAGATATTATAACTGATACTACAGAAATACAAACGATTATTCAAGGCTACTATGAACACCTTTACACATACAAATTAGAACACCTACAGGAGATTGATAAATTCCTAGAAATATACAACCCTCCAAGATCAAACCAGGAAGAAACAGAAACTCTGAACAGACCAATGGCAAGTAGTGAGATTGCAATGGTAATTTTAAAACTTACCAACAAAAGAAAAAGTCTGGGACCAGATGGATTCACAGCTGAATTTTATCAGCCATTCAAAGAAGAATTGGTACCAATCCTACTGAAACTATTCCAAAAGATAAAGAGAGAATCCCCCCTAAATCATTTTGTGAAGCTAGTATCACCCTAATACCAAAACCAGGAAAAGGCATAACAAAAAAAAAAAAAAAAGGAAAACTACAGACCAATATTCCTGATGAACATAGATGCAGAAATCCTCAAAAATACTAGCTAACTGAATCCAACAGCATATCCAAAAGATAATACATCATGATCAAGTGAGTTTCATACCAGGGATGCAGGGATGGTTTAACATACATAAGTCAATAAATATACACTACATAAACAGAATTAAAAACAAGAATTATATGATCATTTCAATAGATGCAGAAAAGCATTTTACAAAATCTAGCATTACTTTATGATTAAAACCCTCAGCGAAATCAGCATAAAAGGGTCATACCTTAAGATAATAAAAGCCATCTATGACAGACCCACAGCTAGCATTATACTGAATGGGGGAAAGTTGAAAGTATTTCCCCCCAGAACTGGAACAAGACAAGGTGCCCATTTTCACCACTTCTATTCTCATGGTACTGGAAGTCCTAGCCAGAACAATGAGACAAGAGTTCACCACTTCTGTTTGACATAGTACTGGAAGTCCTAGCCAGAGCAATCAGACAAGAGAAGGAAATTAAGGGCATCCAAATAGATAAAGAGGGACTCAAACTGTTGCTGTTCACCAATGACATAATAGTATACCTAGAAAACCCTAAAGACTCATCCAAAAAGCTCCTAGATATGATAAATGAACTCAGTAAAGTTTCAGGATACAAAATCAATGTACATACTGCAGTAGCACTATACATCAGCATTGACTAAGCTGAGAATCAAATCAAGAACTCAACCCCTTTTACAACAGCTGCAAAAAATAAAATACTTAGAAATATACCTAACCAAGGAGGTGAAAGATCTCTACAAGAAAAACTAGAAACACTTCTTAAAGAAATCATAGATGACACAAACAAATGGAACCACATCCCATGCTCATGGATGTGTAGAATCAATATTGTAAAAATGACCATACTACCAAAAGCAATCTATCAATTCAGTGCAATTCCCATCAAAATACCACCATCATTCTTTGCAGAACTAGGAAAAAATCCTAAAATTCATATGGACCCCCAAAAACCCCACAGAGCCAAAGCAAGACTAAGCAAAAAGAACAAATCTGGAGGCATCACATTACCTGACTTCAAACTATACTACAGGACTATAGTTACCAAAACAGCATGGCAGTGGTATAAAAATAGGTATGTGGACAGATGGAACAGAATAGAGAACCCAGAAATAAAGCCAAATACTTAAAGTCAGCTGATCTTCGACAAAGCAAACCAAAACATAAAGTGGGGAAAGAACACCCTATTCAACAAATGGTGCTGGGATAGTTGGCAAGCCCCATGTAGTATGAAACTGGATCCTCATCTCACCTTATATAAAAATCAAGTCAAGATTGATCAAAAACTTTAAGACATGAAGCCATAAAAATTCTAGAAGATAGCATTGGAAAAACTCTTCTAGACATTGGCTTAGGCGAAGAGTTCATGACCAAGAACCAAAAGCAAATACAACAAAAACAAAAATAAACAAATGGGACCTAATTAAAACAAAAATCTGCACAGCAAAAGAAATAATCAGCAAAGTAAACAGACAACCCAGAAAGTGGGAGAAAATCTTCCCAAGCTATGCATCTGACAAAGGACTAATATCCAAAATCTACAAGGAACTCAAACAAATCAGCAAGAACAAAAGAAGTAATATCAACAAAAATGGGCTAAGTACATGAATAGACAATTTGCAAAAGAAGATATACAAATGGTCAACAGACATATGAAAAAATGCTCAACATCACTAAAGATGGAGGAAATGCAAATCAAAACCACAGTGCAATAACCATCTTACTCCTACAAGAATGGTCATAATTTAAAAATGAAAAAATAATAGAGTTTGGCATGGATGTGGTGAAAAGGGAATACTTTTACACTGCTGGTGGATATGTAAACTAGTACAACCACTAAGGAAAACAGTATGGAGACTCCTTAAAGAACTAAAAGTGGAACTACCATTTGATCCAGCAATCCCACTACTGGGTATTTACCCAGAGGAAAATCAGTCATATGAAAAAGACACTTACATGTGCATGTTTATGGCAGCACAATTCACAACTGCAAAAATATGGAACCAGCCTAAATGCCTATCAACCAATGAGTGGGTGAAGAAAATACACACACACACACATATACACACACACAATGGAATACTACTCAGCCGTAAAAAGGAATGAAATTATGGCATTCACAGCAACCTGGATGGAGTTGGAAACCATTATTCTAACTGAAGTAACTCAGGAATGGAAAACCAAACATTGTTATGTTCTCACTTATAAGTGGAAGCTAAGCTTTGAGGACACAAAGGCATAAGATTGATATAATGGGCCTGGCTTGGTGGCCCACACCTATAATCACAGCACTTTGGGAGGCCGAAGCAGGGGGATCACCTGAGGTCAGGAGTTTGAGATCGGCCTGGCCAACATGGTGAAACCCTGTCTCTACTAAAAATATAAAAATCAGCCAGGCTGATTTTTGATTAAAAAATGTAATGATACAAAAATCATTACAGTTGTGTGGTGGCACACACCTGTAATCCCAGCTAGTCAGGAGGCTGAGGCAGGAGAATTGCTTGAACTCAGGAAGAAAAGGTTGCAGTGGGCCAAGATTGCACTACTGCACACCAGCCTGGATGAAAAGAGCAAAACTCCGTCTCACACACACACACACACACACAAAAGATTGATATAATGGATTCTGGGGACTCCGGTAGAGGGTAGGGGAGGGGTGAGGGATAAAAGACTACACATTGGGTACAGTGTACACTGCTCGCGTAATGAGTGCACCAAAATCTCAGAAATCACCACTAAAGAACTTATTCATGTAACCAAACACCATCTGTTTCCCAAAAACTATTCAAAGAATAATAATAATAAAAAAGATTTACATTTATAGTGTGCTTAATATAAAGTACACTTACCTCTATTCTTTTATGTAGAGTAACAGATATTTTCCTTATGTTAATGGTGTATATTAGTGCATAGTATATACTATGTCTTTTGGTATAGCAAAATAACGTCATTCTGTTTAAAACACCAGTAAGGCCCTCATTGAGAAACAATGTTGGATCATGAGCTGTGAACATTCATGGGTAAAACATTAATTTCTCTCTTTAACAACAAACTGAGCTCTTTTATCTCTCTGTTGCCAATACATGGCCTAGTACCTGAAACAGAGTAGGTGATCATCAAATATTTGATAAATAACTTAAAAATAAGACTGGAAATCAGAGTTTTAGCAATCTGTGTGTGTGTGTGTGTGTTTGTGTGTGTGTGTGTGTTTTCTAAGTTTTTTGATACCTCCAACCTCTGGAACAACTCACTTCCAAATAAATTTGTAGATAGTCACTGATAATAAAATAAGAACCATCTTGATTTGTAATTATTTTCCATGATAGCTTTGATTCTTGTACACAAATTGGACTTAACCTAGAATTATTATTTCTGCATTAGAATAGAACTTACAAGCTATCTAATTCATCAAATTAGTTTTTATCTAATTCTCCTTATCTCTTGGTTTTATTACTTATATACACATTTGTATTTATATTGCTTTTCCTTGGGAACTTTATAATTGTTTTTATATCCATATTAGGTTGAAAAATATGTTATAATGTCTCATAACTATTTGATTTTATATTTTAACATTGATGATAAATTTTCTCTGCACAGTCTTCAAAACATCTTTCTCTGGTTAAATGGAACAGCAGTGACATATAATCGTTGTCTAGTTTATTCTTTAGATTTTATTACAGAAGATATACTATAGGTTGGTCATGTTTTAATTAAACCACATGCTAACATTTCATGTTGTAATAAAAAACTTGACTGTAGATTATTTTTATACTCAATAAGTCATTAGAAGAGCACATTAGACAAATTTTCACCCAAAGCAATATTATTTATTTAAATATAAAAATAAAAACATGGTCTAGGTAAATGTTAGTAGCAACTCAATATGTCCTCTAAGAATTGAAAGTAAGTGTTTCTAAATGCAAATAATCCTGATTTTCTTGCTAAATATGTTTTTGTTTTTCCAGAAGTCTAGGAAATAGGAATTTACTTACTAAATGCCCTACTGTAATTATGGATGAAGATTGTAGAAGCATGGATGAAATAGGACAGTCAGACTACATTACTGAAAAACACTCCATACAGCATATTTGGAGGAAAAATGGAAAGAAAGTTTCAAATTTTCTTGAAGATGTGAACCAGTCTACTCCTAACTTTCTATCAGAGAATTCTGACTCTTTTGTTAGTCAAAATATGATCAATGTATTAAACATAGATCAGCAAAAGATAAAGAAAACATTTAACAAGTGTGATTATGATAGTATGGGAGATATTTGTGTAGCCACTCATTCTGATAAAAACCGTGTCACTGACAGATGCATTAGAAACATTTTTACAGTTCCAGAGTTGACTTTTAGTAATTCAACTTTGAATAAAACAAGTTATCCAGAAAAATGTCAGCCAAACAAGAAGAATCAGAGAGAGTACAATAAAAATGAAAGAAATGATCTTAGTACATCTTTTGAGAATGATTACTACCCAAGCAGCTCTGAAAGAAAAGGTTGGTATTGTACATGGAAAATGTAATTACATATTCTTTTTTCTTTCAGTTTTAGTATATATATTTGTATATCTATATACGCACACGTCTATATATTTGTATGTGTGTTTATGTGTTTGGAAGAAAATGAAACCAAAAATAGAATGGCTTCCTATCATATAACATTGTGGACCAGTGGTTTTCCTCTGTACATGTCATGTTAATATTCTTTGAATTAAAAAAATGAAAATAGACTATGCTAAATTTTTAACTCAGTGCATACTTTTATTTTTTAAGGAAAACTTGAAAATGATTACCAAGAGAGGACACCACAGAAAAGTATTCAGAAATATCCAGCAAACTCTATGTAAGTTTTTAGGGAAATCTGGGGAATACAAATCAGGAACTAGTATGATGCATGATGAAGGTTGAATTGATGCAAAGTGAGGTAGGCGTATTGCCATCTGAGGGTGGGCAGGCAACTTGTCTCAAAGCAGTCTTACCAGGAGTCGTAGTGTTGATAATATCACCCCAGTTGAGAGTGTGGTGCTCATATTTACCAGCTCCCAAATACTTTCTTATCTGCATATTAGTGTTGATTAGGTTTGAGGAAATTGACTTAATGCATCCAAGAAACTCATATCTGCCAGAATATCAATTTATTAACTTAAAGTAATAAATAGAAAGGGAACATGTATAGGAAGTCTGACATGAAAAAGCATGTTTTCTTACTTTCAGACAGCTCTCAATGGGAAGGTTTCTTGCTTGGTTGGTATAGAATCACTACAGGGAGTGATAGAATTCAGATGTTAGTGGCATAAGGAAGCATATCAGCAGTTTATAGGACAGTGTACATTTTAGGGATAGAGCACTCTCCTCATTGCCAACATTTACCTCTCAGAGACTCCATGTTTTCTCTGTGTTCAAGATTACAATCTCCTCTACCCATACATTGAAAACAATTATGTTACACCAGATTTTTCTTTCTCTTCTTGCAGCTGGTGTACAAAATGTTCTGAATTTAAGGAGATTTTTACACTCATCCATTATGTGTTGATATTAAATTTATTCCTTAGAGTTTGGAAGCTGCCTTCCAGACTTTTGTGAATACTGGCCTGCAATTATAAGTAACTAAAGAAAACTTTATTTTAGCTACTAGTTTCTGAATAGTCCTAACTTTCTTGGTAATAATTGCAATTTAGACAAATCTTTCTGATTGGAAATCGTGAACTAGAATAAATTTTTATTTTGGAAATGATTTCTTGTGGAGTTATTAAAAATATTGATTGATAAAAAGATGTAATTTTAGTGGGATTGGCACATACACATTAATTAAAACATAGATTTACAAAACATTTCATAAAATTGACAACTTTGTATCTTTGTTGTTAAATCTCCCAATATCTAGAAATTTATGAGTGAAAAAATCATGTTAGGCCTTGAGTTTTAAATGTACCTTATGAAAGCAATTTAGAACATGGTTCTCAATCCTGACTGCAGGTCCAGATTACTTGAGGGAGTGATTTTAAACTATAGAATACCAAGTTTGACCTGCACATAATAGGTGGGCTCTTTGGCCTGGAGCTTATGAATCTTTATTTTTAAGAAAGCTTCCCATATAATTCCGATCTGAAGCCTAGTTTGGGAACTCTAATTTAGAACATTAATTCCCAGAGGGAATACAACAAACTTTAATACTGTGTATTTATAATCCTTAGGGGAAATATACCTTCAGAAGAATTGCACTATAAGCAGTCATGGGACTTTGGACTTGATGAGGTAAAGCACAGTCTCACATTATGTTCTCAATTAAGTCAGTTTGTATTACCATATCGTATTACTGTATTTAGCGTTCACTTTGATTTAAGGTTAGCATTTATTCATTAATTTTTTGGGATGGACTCTTTGTCTTACACTTTTTTATTCTGAGGAAATTATATTTTAGATCTAGAAATAAAAACACGTTTTCAGAGACTGTTACATGCTTTATTTGAGACAAAACAATCTTGAGGACATTTTAAACAAATTTTTTAAGTATTACAAAATTTCTGTATTAGTTCATTCTTGCATTGCTATAAAGAAATACCTAAGACTGGGCAATTTATAAAGAAAAGAGGTTTAGTTGGCTCATAGTTCTGCAGGCTATACAGGAAGCATGATGATGGCATCTGATTGGTTTCTGGGGCGGCCTCAGGAAACTTTTAATTATGGCAGAAGGCAAAGGGGAAACAAGGAGTCTCACATGGCAGCAACCGGAACAAGAGAGAATGAGTAGGGAGGTGCCACAGACTTTTAAATGACCAGATCACAGGAGAACAAACTCACTAGCATGAGGACAGCACCAAGAGGGATGGTGCTAAACCATTCAAGAGAAATTGCTGCCCTGCCATGATCCAGTCACCTCCCACCAAGCCCCACCTGCAACACTCAGGATTATAATTTGACATGAGATTTGGCAGGGAGATAGATCCAAACCATATCTTTCCACCCCCAGCCCCCCAAATCTCATGTCCTTCTCACATTGCAAAATAAAATCATGCATTTCCAACAGTTCTCCAAAGTCTTAACTCATCCCAGCATTAGCTCAAAAGTTCAAAGTCTCACCTGATACAAGGCAAGTCCCTTCCACCTATGAGCCTGTAAAATCAAAAACAAGGTAGTTACTTCCAGGATTCAATGGGGGTACAAGCATTGGGTAGATATTTACATTCCAAAAGGGAGAAATAGGCCAGAAGAAAGGGGCTATAGGCCCCATGCTAGTCTGAAACTCAACAGGGCAGCCATAAGTCTTAAAGCTCCAAAATAATTTCCCTTGGCTATATATCTCACATCCAGACACACTGGTGTAAGAGGTGGATTCCAAAAGCCTTGGGCAGCCCCGCCTCTGTGGTTTTGAAAGGTTCAGCCCCTGTGGCTGCTTTCGTGGGCTGGTGCTGAGTGCCTGTGGCTTTTCCAGGAGTTAGGTGCAAGCTGATGGTGTATCTACCATTCCAGGGTCTGAAGGATGGTGGTCCTCTTCTCATGGCTCCACTAGGCAGTGCCCCATTGGGGACTATGTGGGAGGGCTCAATCCCACATTGCCCCTCCACTCTGCCCTAGTAGGGGTTATCCATGAGAGCTCCACCTGTGCAACAGACTTCTGCCTGAACATCTAGGCTTTTCCGTACATCCTGTGAAATCTAGGTGGAGTCTCTCAAGCCTTAAATCTTACACTCTGTGTACCCACAGGCTTAACACCACATGGAAGGATCAAGGCTTACAGCTTGCATCCTGTGAAGCAGCAGACTGAGCTGTACCTGGGCCCCTTTGAGCCATGGCTGGAGCTGGAGTGACTGGGATACAGGGAGCAGTGTTCTGAGGCTGCACAGAGCAGCAGGGCCCTGAGCCTGGCCCAGGAAACCATTCTTCCCTCCTAGGCCTTCAGGCATGTGATAGGAGGGGCTGCCATGAAGGTCTCTGAAATGCCATTGAGACCTTCTCCCCATTGTCTTGGCTATTAGCACTTAGCTCGTTTTTACTTATGCAAATTTCTGCAGCCTGCTTGAATTCCTTCCTGGAAAATGGGCTTTTATTTTCTACCACATGGCCAGGCTGCAAATTTTCCAAACTTTTATGCTCTGCTTCCCTTTTAAATATAAGTTCCAGTTTTTTTTAACATTTCTTTGCTCACGCATATGAACATAGGCTGTTCATATAAAGCAGCTGGTCCATGTCTTGAATGCTTTGCTGCTTAGAAATTTCTTCTGCCAGATATCCTAAATTAATCACCTTCAAGTTCAGAGTTCCACAGATCCCTAGGGCAGGGGCACAATACTGCCAAGTTCTTTGCTAACACATAACAAAAGTGACCTTTGCTCCAGTTCCCAATAAGTTCCTCATTTCTATCTGAGACCTCCTCAGCCTGAACTTCGCTATCAATATCACTACCAGCATTTTCAGCCTTTTTTGTTATAACCATTCAACTACCAGTCTTTACGAAGTTCCAAACTTTCCCTTATTTTCTTCTTGTCTTCTTCTGAGCCTGCTACATTCTTCCAACTTCTGCCCATTACCGAGTTCCAAAATTCCTTTCACATTTTCATGTATCTTTATATCAAAACTCCACTCCTGGTACCAATTTTCTGTATTAGTCTGTTCTCACATTGCTATAAAGAAATAACTGAGACTGGGTAATTTATAAAGAAAAGAGATTTAATTGGCTCACGGTTTCACATGCTGTATAGGAAGCAGGATTGTGGCATCAGATTGACTTCTGGGGAAACCTCAGGAAATAACAGTTATGGTGGAAGGTGAAGTGGGTGTGAAGCATCTCAAATAGCAAAAGCAGGAGCAAGAGAGAGTGAGGCGGGAGGTGCCACACACTTTTAACCAACCAGATCTCATGAGAACAGACTTCACTATTGTAAAGGAAGTACCAAGGGAGATGGTACAAAACCATTCAGGAGAAACTATTTCCCATGATTCAGTCACCTCCCACCAGGTCCCATCTCCAACACTGGGGATTATAATTCAACATGAGATTTGCTGGGGGGCATCCAAAGATCCAAACCATATCATCTTTCAACATGAAAATGCTTTAGGTTTCAATCTACTACATAATTTTATATTTGCCATACTATTGAAATATCTATAAACACTGGTTATGTAATATTATAATCCCTTTGCCATCATAAGGTTGTAATTTTTACAATAGTGCTAGGAACTTTATGTAGTTTATTTCTAATCTATAGGAGCCTGAGTTGCTAAAGTCTTCACAGCAAAAGAGATTGAAATTTAGAGAGATTAGATAACTTGTTTGAGGTCACACTCTCAAGCTAAGATTCAACTATCTGTCTTATCTGATTTGATATTTTCAGCTATACTGTTTTCCCTTTTTTCTTCAATAAATATTTATTGAGCTATATCATGAATTCATATACACTTATTGAATGTTTCCTGTGTGCTAGACACTGGGGATAAAATGGTGCTTTGTTCTCAAGATTATATTCTGTTTGCACTAGACTCTGCAAAGTACAGAGATGAAAGGACATGGAACCAGTCTTTAAGAAGTCTTCATCTAATGGCTAGTCAGAAAGAGACAAAAATATAATATATTTAGATCAACTGCTTGAATTTTGTTTTGGGTTATTAGTAAAAGACACTTCTAAGTTTCATCTGTAAACAGGAGGAAGATGTGATGGAGGAGGTAACTTTTGAGCACAGTATCAATAAGTTGTTTACCAAATGGTCAAATTGTGAAGAAGGAGCAACATAGATAAACTAAGATGTCAGAGTACAGCCTGTTTTAGAAATTTCAAGTACCTTGTTTCATTCTAGTTATTGTTATAGCTACTATTTATAATACTAATGATAAGAGGCGCAGGAGTGGCCTAGGTAATTCTGGACAATACAAAGAGGCAGGTCATAAATGGCCTTGTATGATATATAACAGTTTAATTCTTGATTGTTGGTTTTTTTTTTTTTGAGACGGAGTTTTGCTCTTTTTGCCCAGGCTGGAGTGCAATGGCACGATCTCAGCTCACCACAACCTCTGCCTCCTGGGTTCAAGCGATTCTCCTGCCTCAGCCTCCTGAGTAGCTGGGATTACAGACATGTGCCACCATGCCTGGCTAATTTTGTATTTTTAGTAGAGACGGGGTTTCTCCATGTTGGTCAGGCAGGTCTTAAACTCCCAACCTCAGGTGATCCACCCGCCTCGGCCTCTCAAAGTGCTGGGATTATAGGCGTGAGCCACCGCGCCCGGCCAATTCTTGATTGTTAAACAGAGATCCACTAAACAAATTTTAGCAGAGGAATATGATGATGTCAGAGTAATAAAAAAGTTGACTCTAGCAACAATGAGGAGGGATTTGATAAGTGGAACAACTCAAGTTAGGGGAAGAAATAATGAGAGCTTGAAGTTTTATAATAGCAGTAAGGATGAAAGTGAGAGAAGAGAAGATTAGCTCTAGAATTGATAGTACTTGGTGATTGGTGATTAGTTAAGGAAGAAGGAAGAAATTGAGGAAGACCTAGATTTATTTATGATTTGAGTAAATGGGTAGTTGATGGGATTGTGCTACTGAACGAGATTGAAACCATAGGAGGAGGTGGCAGGAAAGGTTAACTCCATCAAAATTCATGTACCCTTTTTTTGTAGAATGTACCCTTTTTAATAGAATAGAGCTACCACTGTGAAATGGCTTCCCAGCCAAGGAACATGTTTCCTAACCATCCGTCCATGTACATGTGGCCATATGGCTAGATCTCACTAATGAAATATTAGGAAAAGTGATGTGCATCATTTTAGGTCAAGGCTTATAAGAAAAGGGAATTATTTTTCCATGCTGTCTTTCTTTTGATGGCTAGATGGTAGTGAGGCCCCAAGGGATAATGGAGCCACAAGATGGAAAGGACTGGGTCTCTGAATCACTACATGGAGGCAAATTGCCTGCTTACCAGAAACACTCACTTTAGATTATTACACAAGAGAGAAATGATTGTGTTTGGCATTATACATTTTGTAATATACTTTTTAAAAACAATACCTAACATCACTCTGATTCAGAGGAGGAGCAGATTTCTGAGAGAGAGAAATTTGACCCACTGAGCTCAAGTGAGGATCTTCTGAAAAACCTGTGATCTATGTGGAGATGTATAGTAGACAATTATATATACAGGGCTTGAGGTCAGAAGAGATTTTTTAGACTTTAATGAATAGGAGATAATTGACTACATCCAAGTGTATGATTCTCGAGAGAAAGTGTATAGAATAAGAAAAAAAATTGTCAAATTCCTGAGAAGGCACATTTCAGGTTGGAGGGTATGAAGTAGAAGAGGAACCAGAAAAGGAGGCTGAGAATGAGCTACTAGAGAGGTTTGAGGAGTACTAGTGTCATAGGAAAGAAAAAGGAGGAGAATGTGGTCAGTAGTGTTGGAAGCTGTCCTGTTATTCCTTTAAATAATTCATATTTTCCCAAATATGAATAATATAGATGTATCCTCCCAAAATATGAATTATCAACAAAATATAATACTTCAAAAACAAATTCTATTTGACTACACCTATGTCTAGAAAGCTGGCAGCTTGAATGTAGCTAGAACTAGTCAGAAAAGAAAAAAGTCCATTGGTGTAGCCCAAGGGGAATCAGGTGCTATGAGGAGTTCTTTGGGTAGAGCAGGTGTGGGGACTTTTACATTGTGATGCCTGGCCATGGCCAAAGGTGCGGTGGAACCCTGACTAAAATTAGGTTCTACCAGAGGGGCCAAGGCAGGAGTCACCAATGGGATGGAATGAAGGGGTAGGAGTAGAAAGAGGGCTGGGTTGCACCTGCCCATGGGTTAGGTAAAATTAAAACAGGTAGCTTCTGCTAAAGAAGAATTGATGAAGAGACATACAGGCTAAAACAAGCAAACAGAACAAGCCTCTTGAATGGGGACGTGTGTTGTTCTCAAGAGCCTTTAGTGGGAGTGGAAGAGAATAGGAAAGAACAAAGTGTTGGAGGAGTATAATTATTTAATTTTAAAGGTTTAGTAGAGGAATAAAGTTTAAATACAATTGTTAACATGGGAAGGTAATCACTAGAGAAGTGGAGCCGTGGTAGAACTAAATTCAAGAGTGATGATGTCACACTAGGAAACCTGATCAAGATGGGAAGAAATGAAATAGCAATTCTATATACAGTGTAAGGAATGAAACCCACTTAGCAATTAACATATTGAATATGAATAAATATATTGAACATGAATTCTTTTCAATATTAAAAGAATATCAAATTATGGAGAAAAAAATCAATATAGTTTACAAGCAGCATATCTAGAATATAATAAAGGTTGAAAGCAAACAGATAGCAATATACATACATTAAGAAAACATATATACTATTGGAGCAAAGACCATATAAATGCAATAAAAAGCCCATTCGGAAAAGAGAAAAATAGGAGATGCAGATTTTCTGATCCACAGCAACTATAAAATCCTGCTGGGTATGCATTGTGAAGGCTTGCCATCCTGGAGGATGGAGGACGTTCGTGAATAACTTAGTGTCTTGTTCTTTGGGAAGATCTTTGCTGTCCTTCTCAAACAGATCTCAAGTAGGTATTGGAGTGCAGACCTGCCTTGGGGTCTCCATAGCTTTCTTGAAAGTTTTGTGTTCTTGTTGCAAGGGGGTTGAATGTGTCATTAGTTGAAGAGAAAAGGTTTTTAAATGATAAGATAGAGGGGTTAGGGAAGGGATTCTGCTTCATGTAGTTATTCAGGCCCTAAACTGGTGGCTTCCAGTTTATTGTCACCAGAGAGCAGAGGGGAAAAGGAAGTGGAGGATTGTGGGGAAGATTTTTATGGACCAGGACCGGCAGTAGTATACATTACTTCTGCCTATGACCAGAACTTAAGTAACATGTCTAAACTAATTCCAAGGGAGGTTGGGAAATACAGTCTAGCTGTATGTCCAAGAAAAAGGGAGTCAGGTTTGGGAAGCAGCTAGACAGTTTCTCCTTTATTCTATATATCTAAAATTCTATATCCTACTAACAGAGAATATATAGAAAAAAATTTTTATAAGCCCATGGTACATTTGCAAACATAATTCATATAGTAAGCCATAAAGAAAATCTAAGAAATTTATCTAAGGAGAGATTCATAGGTACATTCTCTAATCAAAATTTGATAAAATTGAAATCAACTAAAAAGAGATACTTAACTTCCCTTAACATCCTGGAAATAAAGAAACACTCAGGGTTTCTTTGCTTTGTTTGAGAAAGGAAATGAAAATAAAGTACAAATACATAGAAAGTGATGGAAACCAAAACCAAAGGTGTGTTCTATAGAAATTTATACCTCTAAGAGCTTTTATTATTTAAAAAACCTGAAAACAAATGACTGATGATCTAACTTAGGAAATTAAATAAAGAATAACAAATTTCCAAATTGCCTTAGTATGTTTGTCTTTGTTCAGCTGCATTTACTATGATTATCTGAAGCTTTTCCTTTTTCTCAGTAATTCATTTCTTGGCAAGTGTCTCTTCTGTTGCTTGTCGTTTTAAAACCAATTTAAATTTCATTTTATTGTTCACCACAGGCTAATTTTTCTTTGTGATTTAAAAATAAACCATGTTGGCCGGGCGCGGTGGCTCAAGCCTGTAATCCCAGCACTGTGGGAGGCCAAAGCGGGTGGATCACGAGGTCAGGAGATCAAGACCATCATGGCTAACATGATGAAACCCCGTCTCTACTAAAAAAAAAAAAATAAAACATTAGCCGGGCGTGGTGGCAGGCGCCTGTAGTCCCAGCTACTTGGGGGGCTGTGGCAGGAGAATGGCGTGAATCCAGGAGGCGGAGCTTGCAGTGAGCCGAGATGGTGCCACTGCACTCCAGCCTGGGGACAGAGCGAGACTCCATCTCAAAAAAAAAAAAGAAAAAAAAAGTTGAACTGAAGTAATGTAAAAGAAAAGTACTATAAAATGAATTGGTGGTGTAAATAGGGTAGATATAAGTGAATATTATTATGTATACTTAGGAATTGTTAACATTTTGGTTTTCTCCTAGATTCTGATGGAAGAAGGAGGAATATGCTCTTTAAAAAGCAGGCCAACATCTACTGAGAAAATCTGTCAGTATAACTGTATAAGTTAATTTTACTCTATTTTAAAAACTAACAATTAAATAGAAATCAGTTAAATTTGAAGTGATTTTTTAGCTGTTTGCCAACAAATATATATCATGGATATTTTAGTACTGCTAATGCAATTGACTCTTTAAAATTACTTTTATATTTTTTTAAATATACATAATGAGTACATTAATGTATATGTACAGTTTAGCAAATAAGAATAAAACAGATAACCCTCATACTCACTAGGTAGCTTAAGAAATAATACATAATACTTCTGAAGATTTCTTCTTTTGTATTTCATATCCTGCCCTCTAGAGGTAACTATTTCCTTGAATTTGTTTTTTGTTATAACACAGACTTTTTAGTTGCTTTATTTTGAACTTTCTAGATATTGATCCAACTCTATATATTTTTCTGCAACTTGCTTTTTTTTCCACTCAGTATTATATTTTGTGGTTCACCTGCTTTGAAACTTGTAGATTTAGTACATTTATTATTTTTCCTGCTATACAGCATTCTATTGTATGAATATATCACAATTTATGTATCTTCTAACAATGGATATTTAGGTGGTTTTGAATATTTTGCTTACGTTGTTTCGAATATTTTCCGACGAAGAACAATGCTACTTGGACTATTATTGACATTTTTCCTTGCACACATGTATAAAAAGTTTCTCTAGGATATATTTCTAGGAGTAGAATTGCTAGTTCATATGGTATGCACTTCTTTGCATCTTCAAGGTAATGCAAAATTATTTTCCTAAATGGTTATGCCAGTTGTACCCCTCTTAGCAATGCGTAAGAGTCTTAGTTGTTACATGTTTTCACCAACAGTATCTCAGTCTTTTATCATTACTGGTAATCTGATAGCTCATTGTAGTTCTAATTTATATTTCTCTGACTACTAATTAGGTTAACTGGCCATCGATGTTTCATTTGTGAAATGTCATTTGCTCATGTTCCTTTTCTGAAGTTTGGTTTTCTTTATGGGATGTGTCTTTTATATGTCTATATCTCCTATATATATTTTATGTGTCCTGGATACTGACTGCTTGTAGGCTTGTGTGTAGCAAATACTTCATATTTGAGCAATCTTTTAATTCTATACTGTCTTTTTACAGACAGAAGTTTCATGTTGATCTGGTACTCTTTTAGGTATTCTGTGATAGCATAGTCCTTCATGTTATCTAGTCTGATGGAATACCTTGAAACTTTTTATAATTTAATTTTTTGAATATGTAAAATACTAGTCTGGTTTCTGTCCTTATCGTCCCTGCCCTATTTCCTTCTGCAATATGAGTATTTTTTTTTTTTTTTTTTTTTTTGCTGCTTTCTGGTTTCTCATTCCAGTCCATTTAAAAAAAAATAAATCCCAAAAATATATAAACACATACATAACCATGAGTCTTAGTTTCCTGCCTTTCTCATTCTAAGTGTAATATAGAATATTTTATAAAAGAATTAAGTGAATTCATTTATTTAATAAAATATCCTATAGATTCCTCTGTGTTAGTGCTAGGTATTTCTTCATCCTTTACGTATGACCATTTAGTAGTCCATTACATGCATGAACTGTAGTTTTTTCAGTCAATGCCCTATTGATGGACATTTGGGCTATTTCCAGTATATTTTTCTTACAAATACTGTTTAAGTAAACAACTTTGTGCAATGTTTCTTATTTGTGAAAGTACATTTTCAGGGTAATTTCTGGGAGGGACATTGTTGAGTTGAAGGAGAAATATGCTGGTATTTGATAGATATTGCTGAATTTCAATTTTGATATATGTATATTTCCAAGTTCCTTGTGTCACCATTTGGCAATTCCATTAGCAGTGTATATTTTATTCCACAGCCTCACCAACAGGGATTGTGGTCAAATTTAGGAATTTTGCTGAGTCTCGCAGGGGGATGGACAGATAGAAGTTTTTGTTTGCACTTCGCTATGTGTGAAGTTGAGCATCTTTAAAAAATGTTCATTGGCTATTTGCGATTCTTTTTCTGTGAATTCTCCATTCACATCTTTTGCCCCCTTGGGTTTTGGCATTTTTTTCCTTGATATTTAAGAGATCTTTAAGAGATATTAAGAGATCTTTAAATATTAACAAGATGTAGATGAGGGGTGAAACAAGATGGCGGAATAGAAGACACCACCCACAAGCACACCAATTTAACAACTCTCTACACACAAAAAACACCTTCCTAAGAACTGCGTAAGAGCACTCATAGTACCTGGTTTTAACTTCGCATCACTGAAAGAGGCACTGAACAAGTAGGAAAAATAGTCTTGAGTCACTGACGCCACCCTTACCCCATTCCCTGGGAGTGGGACACAGTGCGGAGAGTGATTCTTTGTACTGGGGAGAGGGACAGTCAGTGTAGCAATTTTGAGGCATTGAACTCAGTGCTGTGTTGTAACAGAAGGCAAAACTGGACCAAACTCAGCTGATGTCTACCCATGGAGAGAGTATTTAAACTAGCCCTAGCCAGAGGGGAATTGCTGATGCTTGTGGTCAATACTTGAGTTTGCATAAGCCCTCCTATTATGGGCTAAAGTGCTCTGGTGGTCTAAGTAAATTTGAAAGGCAGTCTAGGCCACAAGGACTACAACTCCTAGGTGAGTCCTAGTGCTGAACTAGGGCCAGAGACTGTGGACTGGGGATGGCATGTGTTCTATTGAATCACCAGTTGGGGCAGCTAAGGGAGTATGGGAGTCACCCCTCCCTTAACCCAGACCACTCAGCTTGCAGCTCCAAAACAGACCCCTTCCTTCTGCTTGAGGAGAGGAGAGGGAAGAGTGGGGAGGACTTTGTCTTACATCCTGCATACCAGATTAGCCACAGTAAGATAGGGCACAGGTCAGAGTCATGATGTCCCCTTTCCAGGCCCTAGCTCCAAGATGACATTTCTGGACACTCTTTGGGCAAGAAGGACACCTATATCCTTGAAGGGAAGGACCCAATCCTGGCAGGATTCATCACCTGCTAACTGAGGAGCCTGGGGCCCTGAATAACCATCAGTGATATCCAGGGACTGCATTGAGGGCCTTGGGTGAGACTCTGAGACTTGGTGGCATCAGGTGAGTCTCAGTACATTTCCAGCTGTGATGGATATAGGACAAGACTCTTCACTTGAGAAAAGCAGAGAGAAAAGTAAAGGGGACTTTGTCTTGCATCTTAGGTACCAGCACAGCCATGGGGGTAGAATACCAAGTAGGCTCTTGGGGTCCCCAATTCCAGGACTTGGCTCTTGGATTCCAGGACTTGGCTCTTGGATGGCATTTCTGGACCTGCCCTGGACCAGAGGGGGAGTCCACTGTGCTGAGGGGTGACTCCCAGCTAGGCATCATTCACCACAAGCTGACTGAAGAACCCTTGGGTCATAAGGGAACATCACTGGTACTCTGGCAGTACTCCCTGTAGGCCTGGGTTGTGATGGCCATGGGTTGAAGTTCGTCTGCCTTTGGAAAGGGAAGACTGGGAAGGACTGTGTCTTGTGGTTTGAATGTAAGCTCAGCCCCAGTAAAATAGAATACCAGGTAGGCTGCTAAGGTTTTTGACTGTAGTTCCTGGCTCCCAGTTCTGAGACAGCACTTCTGGATCCACCTGGGGCCTGGGGGAACTTGACATCCTGAAGGGAAGGACACAGACCTGGCCAGCTTTGCCACCCATGGATTGTAGAGCCCTAGGGCCTTGAGAAAGCATAGACAGTAGCCGGGTAGTGGTTACAGTGGACCTTGGTTGAGACCCAGTGCTGTGCTGGTTTAACATCTGACCAAGCACAGTCCTGATGGTCGTGGCGATGGGGGTGCTTATGTCACTCCACCCTGAGCTTCAGATGGCTCAGAACAGAGAGGGAGACTATTCATTTGGAAGAAAGTAAGGGCAGTGACAAGAGTCTCTGCTTGGTAATGCAGAAAATTTTCCCAGATATTGTCTAAGACAATCAAGGCAGTATGTCTACAAGTCTGCAAGAACCACAGCGTTGGGGTGCCCCTAAAGCAGATACAGCTTAGATCTTAACACCCAAGTCCTTTTTGAGTTCCTGGAAAGCATTCCCAAGATGGATGAGAACAAGCCCAGACTGTGAAGACTGCAATAAATAGCTAACTCTTCAATGCCCAGGTACAAATGAACATCTACAAGTAGCAAGACCATCCAGGAAAACGACTTCACCAGATGAACTAAATAACGCACCAAGGACCAACCCTGGAGAAATGGACATATGTGACCTTTCAGACAGAGTATTAAAAATAGCTGTTTTGAGGAAAGTGAAATTCAAGATAACAAAGAGAAGGAATTCAGAAGTATATCAGACAAATTTAACAAAGAGATTGAAATAATTAAAAAGAATCCAGCGTAAATTCTGGATCTGAAAAATGCAATTGACATATTGAAGAATGCATTAGAATCTTAATAGTAGAATTGATCAAGCAGCACAAAGAATTAGTGAGCTTGAAGGCAGACAGTTTGAAAATACACAGTCAGAGGAGACGAAAGAAAAAAGAATAAAAAAGAATGAAGTATGCCTGCAGGATCTAGAAAATAGCTTCAAAAGGGCAAATCTAAAAGTAGTTATTGGCCTTTTACCTCCTAATCCTAGAGAAACATATCAATATCCAAGTATAAGAAGGTTGTAGAACACCTAGCAGATTTAACCCAAAGAAGACCACCTCAAGGCATTTAGTAAACTCCTAAAGATCAAGGATAAAGAAAGGATTCTAAAAGTGGCAAGAGAAAAGAAACAAATAATATACAATGGAGCTATAATACGTCTGGGAGCAGACTTTGCAGTGGAAACCTTACAAGCCAGGAGAGAGTGGCATGACATATTTAAAGTGCTGAAGGAAAAAACCTTTTACCCTAAAATAGTATATCCAGCAAAAATATCCCTCAAACATGAAGTAGAAATAAAGACTTCCTAGACAAAGAAAAGCTGAGGGATTATCAATACCAGACCTGTTCTGCAAGAAAATGCTAAAACGAATACTTCAATCAG